CACACTGAAGACATTAGTACTGTGGTAGATCACTGCTAATATACAGTATGATTTAGTCATACAAATAATGTTTACCTGCCTGGTGTGCATGTGTGAATCTACCAAATTCTGCAACAGAGAATTCAGAGCTTTCAGAGAGGACATTTGTAAATAAAGAGGTGAGATTATTACTTTTTACTATACAAGGACTACCCAACTTATAAACCACAAAAAAACATAATTGCTGGTCTGTAATCAAAGCTATAGCTCATCCCCGCGGTTTCCCTTTCCACTATTACCGTAAGTAAAAGCCAAAAGCCACATTACCGCAGATTTTGAAAAGCCGGGCCACTTTACCGCAATCACTTTTACAAAGAGTACCTCATTCAGCACCTTCCAAGACTCCTTCTGATCCCCTGAGACAGTTTTTAGTCTCTTTGCAAAATAATTAGCTTTACTGACTCGTATTAAGCTCGTTAATTTGTTCTTGTATTTTGTATATCGATCTTTATTTGAACAATTTTTTCTTTTTTTTAATATTCCTTATAGAGCTTGTTTTTTTGCCGGATTGACTTTAAGAATCCATTTGTAATCCATGGATGCCATTTTTTACAATGTTTTAATGATTTCTCTGGAATGGTTACATGGATGGAATAATTGATTTCATTGATTAAGGAATTATAGGCATTGTTGGGGTTTGAAATGTTATAAAAATCATCCCAACTTTTGTTTTTGAGATGTTGAGAGAGATTAACGAGGGTTTTGCTATTTAGAACTTTTATCTTCCTCTCTGAACATGAATCTGGTACTCTATTGATCCAGTTAGTGAACAGAGCAACAGGAAAATGATCAGAGATATCAGAATATATTACACCTGACTTGCATCCAGTGTTTTGGATGTTTGTTATTATATTTTCTATAGTGGTCTTGCTTCTCTCTGTAACTTTGGTGTATTTATCAATAGTGGGACAGAATGATGAGGAGAAAAGGGTATTTTGAAAGTCAGTTCCTATAATATCTTCTTTAGATAGGTCTATATTAAAGTCACCCATGATAATACAGTTTTTCTTCATCATATTTATGTAGTTTAACATGTTATCAAAGTGGTGTCTAAATGTTTCATAATTGAAATCAGGTGGTCGATATACTACTCCAATAATTATAGAACCTTTTATTGTTTTTACTTCTAGGAATAATGAATCAGAGACACCATCCTCTACCATGATATCATTTCGCTCCTTTACAGAATATTGAGTGCTTACAAGTAATATCCTTTTACTCCGCACTCTCTCCTCACTCGAGCTACTGTGCCTTAAACCCAAAACACCTCCTAGGCACCCCCTTTTACTTTTATTTGTTTTTGTTTCTACTTTATTATTCTTTCTCACATCTCACTTTTCTCCTTCCTCAAGCTCACCTTCAAGATACGCCGAAGGTGCACCAAACCATTTTTTAATCTTAAAATGTTTTACTCAATTTTAAGTTGTAAATCTTATTCTATTGTGAATTTTTATATCTTAAATGCTTGTGTTCCCATCTTCTTTAATTTTGCTTTCCCCACTCCTGCCCTTCTCCCAAGCTCCACTTAGAAGTAGTACATAGAATTAGGTGAACTACGTTTCTCTAGGGCAGTTCACTATCAGCAGACCTAGCTGTAAACCTTGTGATTTAACAGCCAGAAACCAAACCCTCAGCAAAGCATTTGCCAGCCATTTGAGTCATGATAAAGAAATGCACTAACCCAAATCACTCACAGGCACACCCAAGCAGACGACATCACCAACTGTGGGCCGGCCATCATCCTCAAGGAATACGACCTGGATGTTCCTCGTCCTGGATGTTGGAGATACATCCAATTCGTAGGGGGGGAATGTAGGATGAGAATCCAAACCGTTGTTGCTGCTGTTCCATCTACCAGACCAGGACTCTCAGACTGTGATTTTAGTGCCCCCTAGCGGCAACAAAGGACTACACACATTCCAAACTTAAGTGTGCTGCATATGCAACTAAAATGTAAACCCGCATCAATCAATCAATCAATCAATCAAAGTTTATTTATAAAGCGCTTTTCATACAACAGATGCAACACAAAGTGCTTTACAGTTTGGCTAAAAAACAATCCTGCCCATGCCCTTCCCCCCCCCCCCCCCCCCCCCCCCACACACACACACACACGCGCACACACACGCACCGATAAAACAATAAAACGATGATAAGAGACCTGGCAGGTCAGATGCAACCGGCTGAAGAAACGCCATCCAAGGAGCCGTCAGCGCCAGGAGCAGTGAGCCGCCCATAGCCAAAGGGGACGACACAGGACCCAGAGGAGACCCAAAACCGAGGCCCCGGGCCCCCACCAGGTCCAAGAGTCCGACCCCCACAGCCACAGCCAACCACCGCTCCCAGCGCAGAGGGCTCCTCCAGAGGAAACACTGGGGATACTAAAAACAATACAATAAGTAAAACACTAAAATGTGAGCCTGAAAGGAACTATCACACAAAACATGAATAAAAGCAATAGCAATATCATAAATAATAAAAGATAAATAGAATATATAAAAATGGACTCCATCCATCCATTTTCTACCCTTTAATCCATTTCTGGGTCAGGGGGGTGGCAATCAGAGATGCCACCCAAGTCTCATAGCACCAGCCCCTCACTGACCCTCTGCAGGTGGTGAGTCCACAGGAGGCACTGGACTAATAAATACTAATCAAAAGCTAATCTAAAAAGGTCTCTCTGTTGTCATTAATCTTTATTGAAGTGTGAGTCACGAAGTCTGTTGAAGTGTTTGTGCTTTAAACAATTGTGTTTAATATGTCTCATGCCCAGAAGTTCCTGTGTTGTGAAAAGCCGGAAACAGGAAGTGACTACAACGTACCCGCCCCTAAGACTGGAGACAAAACCAGTCTGAATGCAGAGCGCGCCCTCTTGAATTTTTGGCCTTCTTGCTCTCCTCGGCTTTTCGTCTCTCCTGGGTTTCGGCCCTCACGTTCGGTGCCCGCGGCTGGATCCGTGTGTATGAGCTCAAACAGGCTCGTTTCAACTCTCTGAACTTGCTCAATCAACTTCTTTCTCCCCTGCACAACAACAAGCGGGAAGGGACGCGACGCTACACAGCCTATACTAGGAGACAACAACAAAGGAACTTTTCTGGGATCAAAGCCGGACCACGTGTCCACCAACAAAGAAACTTTACTAAAAGCAACCTTCACACAGTAAGAAGTATCGTTGAATACCGATGTGTTTAAATTAGTGCTGTCCAACGATTAAAATATGTAATCGCGATTAATCGCATGAATTTCATAGTTAACTCGCGATTAATCGCAAATTAGTCACACATTTGTATCTATTCTTTATGTCCCTTGAATTAATTAAAATAAAATAAAAATTATAAAATAAAATTAATAATAATAATAAAATAAAATAAAAAATGAATGAATAAGTAGATAAATATAATAATAACATGAATAATATGTGCATATGTGCATACAATGATAATACACAAGTCAGGGTAAGCGAAAGCTTATTTTAATGCATGACACGTTTAGTCAAGAAAAACACACAAAAAGGAACAAAATAAGAGAGGGAATGGGCCGGGCGTGGGCTCCCTCCCCCCCTTTTTGGGGTGGGGGCCTGCTTGGGGGTCTGTGTGTTTGTCGGATTTGGTTTTGATGTTGGCTGGGTTCCGCTTAGCTTGGTGAAACTCAGGCGGGCAGACTTTATATCTTATCTTATCTGTGGGGTGTATGTGTGTGTGTGTGTGTGGAGTGTGTGTGTATGTGTGGGTATAGACCATAGACTGTATAGAAACATCATGGTGTCATTATGATGATGATAAACAATCTGTAAATATTTTGTAAATTTGTTCATGTAAATACTCTATGCTGTTTCTCTGTTTACTTTCGGTATATCTATGACTGTACACTGTTTGCTTGTATTGCCTTTTTTATTAACCCCTTTTTATTAACCCCCCCCCCCCCCCCCCCCCCTCCTATGTGCCCTTCTGGGTTTCTTCTTTGGGCCCCCTGTATCTCCAACTACTGTTTGTAATCTCTGTCTACAATGTATCTGAACTAGTCCTTTTCTTTGTTTCTATTTTTTTTTTCTGTATATGTGTTTGTCTGCAATAATAATATTTATTTATTTATTTTTTATTTATTTTTTTTAAATCGCGCGATAAAAAAAATTACGCCGTTAATATTGATTTGCGTTAACGCGTTAATAACGCGATATTTTGGACAGCACTAGTTTAAATGTGTCTGCTTTTGGGTTATTGTGCACATTCTTTGAATTGTGACTCACACAGTTTCTTATGCTCTGAGGTTTTCCGTTTGGTAAATAAACAGCTAAATCTCTATCAGCCTCCAGTGTTATTACTTAGTAGTTTGGAAGATGGACTCTCTGGCGAATAGAACTCACACTTTTAGATATTTATGAGATTGAATTTAAAACCCCGCTTGATTCTTTTAGTTGGGTCTTGAGACTTTTCTTTCCCCCTCTTCAGGTATCTCTATATTAGTCAAAATTAGACCATTCTTAGAACAAGCACACCCTTATAAAGGTAGATATAAGGGAATTTCCAATAAGGAATAGTTACGACTGTGTAGATATGTTTTAGATATGCAATGTATCCAAATGCACTGTGCATCTAAGACATATATGCATTTAGTTACCCTACATATGGGAATAGTTACATAACACAGAAAATGCAGTTATATCAAAACTCAATGCAAACATGGGTACTGTAAATTATATAGAGGATCCATTAGACACAATAGATACTACAGTACAGTAAGAATTGGAAACACAATGTTTAGGGCAGTGCAACCTGTGGACGCGATAAATACAGCGCTGTGAGAAATGCAGCTGAATTATGTGAGCCTCTGGAAGTGTCCCCGTGTCTCCTGTAGCCCTGAAACTACAACTCAGCAATTAAAGCTGGGGTACCTAAATTTCCCTTGCATTCATAATGCATGTTGCTCCTCTCCCTCCTTGGCCTGCTCTCACCCTCTTTTACCTGCTCCTCTCCCTCCTTGACCTGCTCCTCTCCCTCCTTGACCTGCTCCTCTCCATCCTTGGCCTGCTCCTCTCCCTCTTTGACCTGCTCCTCTCCCTCCTTGACCTGCTCCTCTCCCTCCTTGGTCTGCACCTTTCCCTCCTTGACCTGCTCCTCTCCATCCTTGACCTGCTCCTCTCCCTCCGTGGCCTGCTCCTCTCCCTCTTTGACCTGCTCCTCTCCCTCCGTGGCCTGCTCCTCTCCCTCTTTGACCTGCTCCTCTCCCTCCGTGGCCTGCTTCTCTCCCTCCGTGGCCTGCTCCTCTCCCTCCTTGACCTGCTCCTCTCCCTCCGTGGTCTGCTCCTCTCCCTCTTTGACCTGCTCCTCTCCCTCCGTGGCCTGCTCCTCTCCCTCTTTGACCTGCTCCTCTCCCTCCGTGGCCTGCTCCTCTCCCTCTTTGACCTGCTCCTCTCCCTCCGTGGCCTGCTCCTCTCCCTCCGTGGCTTGCTCCTCTCCCTCCGTGGCCTGCTCCTCTCCCTCCTTGACCTGCTCCTCTCCCTCCTTGGTCTGCACCTTTCCCTCCTTGACCTGCTCCTCACCCTCTTTGACCTGCTCCTCTCCCTCCACTGACACAAACTCCTCTTCTTCTGCCTTGATCATCCATTTTCGTTTGGAACCTGCACTGACTTATAAAGTTGTGGTCACATCATTTGCAACAGGAGTTTTCAGTTCTGAGTGGTTGTGTTTTCTGAATGACACCAGGTCTGTTCATTGTTCAGGTTTTGCTGACAGTGGGAGACATTTTTCATCACATGAGCCTCACAATGATTATAGGAGCAGCGATACATGCAAAAAGTGTTTTAGCAAAGGAAAAATGTGTTATAGCAAAGGAAAAATGTGTTTTAGCAAAAGAAAAATGTGTTTAGAGTTTTGAGAAAAAGGGCATGTGTTTTGTGAACAGTGTCTACAGGAGAATTGTGTTTTTGGTTGTGAGAAGTGGGGGGAAGTTTTAATGTGTTTAGGCGATTGGTCATTTGGTTTAGAGTACGGGGTTTTGTGTTGTAGCAATAGAGAAAAACTAAGTTGAGCACTCAAGTCCGCTATTTGTTTTCTTAACTCGTCAAATTCCGATTCACTGGTACTCACTGTCTGCACATTTGACATGGCCCGCTGCCTAGGATTGTTTTGAACAGATTTGTTCCGACCAAGATGTTGCATACGGCTGACTTTTGACGCTTGCTTTCTTTCTCCATCCGTAAGAGTAAAAGTAATTCCGAGAAAATAGGTGGGGTCTCTTTTCTTTGTCCAAGCTGAAGATCACTGATGAGACTGTCTTCCCAACAGCCGCGAAGAAACTGCCGTAACAACTGCTTATCAAATTCTGACGCACTGACACCACCGCGCCGCATAGCTTTTGTCAGACAAACATGTAATCTTTGAAAATAGGCCGATGGTCTTTCTCCTTCATTCTGAAGTGTGTTCATAAATCTCGCAAAGAGCTCATCACCATCTTCGACAGCTCCATAAGCAATATCCAGCACTTCAAGACAGTGGCGGCCGGCCAATAGAGGGCGCTAGGGCGCCGCCCCACCACTCACAACTTGCCATGTTACCTTGAATAAAACGTTAAAAAAAATAATAACATTAAAATATTTCGAAATTTATGTGTGTTTTATTTCAGATGTGGAAGAAATACTTTATAGTTTATGCTGAGTTGGATTGATTAAGCTCATCAGCGTTGTCTGTGTCGGACTGTGGACGTATTTCCGCCTCAGGGCGCAAAAGATTGCGCCCTGAGCCGTCTATGGACTCTCGTTAAAAGTTGTACATGCGCAGTAGCTCCTCTTCAATGCAAGAGATAAGACGATTTGGGGGCGCAGGAGAAGTGCGCCCTGAGGGGGCGGGATCGCCCGCGACCTGTACTGTCACTGTCTGTGACGTCCGTTTACAGTGATTGACAGGTCAAGCTGTGGGAGTTTGAGACGAACGTAAAGAGACGGCTAGCAGCATGTAGCGAGGCTAATGCTTTATTTTGCTTTCCATGCCTCTTGTTTCAAACATCAGGATCTGACCCAGCATGGATCAAGACAGGTATGACTGATCTGAAGCACTTTTTAGAAAAGGCAAAGAAGCATGAGCAGACTGGTATCCACATGCAAAATGCCCTCAAATTAGCTATGTTTGGGAAGATAAATATTTCATCCCAGCTGGATGAAAGCTACAGGGTAGGGATCAGAAAGCACAATGAGGAGGTTGACAAGAATAGGCACATCCTATCAAAAATAATATCCATCCATCCATCCATCTTCTACCCTTTAATCCATTTCTGGGTCAGGGGGGTGGCAATCAGAGATGCCACCCAAGTCTCATAGCACCAGCCCCTCACTGACCCTCTGCAGGTGGTGAGTCCACAGGAGGACAAAAATAATAGACTGTGTCAAATTCTGTGGTGCATTTGAACTTGCCCTGCGAGGCCATGATGAAAGTGAATCCTCAGGAAATCCTGGTGTTTTCAGAGGATTGGTGGATCTTGTAGCATCACTGGATGCAGTACTACATGAACACCTGCAGACCGCCACTGTGTTTAAGGGGACATCTAAGACCGTACAGAATGAACTCCTGGACTGCATGCTGTCAGTCATGAGAGAGTGCATCATTGGAGAAATCAGGAGTGCAGACTTTGTCTCCATTCAAGCTGATGAAACAATGGATATTTCTACTCAGTGTCAGCTTGTGCTTGTGATTCGCTTCATCGATAAAGCCCAACTTACTTACTGCTGGTATATATCTAGTCATCATATTCATAGCCCCCCCAGTAGAAAATTCCACCAGCCGCCACTGCTTCAAGATAATCAGAAGGTTTAGCATTAGGGCCTAAATGTTTGGTGACATCTGTCGCGGGCGGCAACAGGCTTTCAAGTATTCTTTGTGTGCAGGTCAAATCAGAAACAGCAGGGTCATTAATGAGAACTCCAACACTTGTGCGCCATGTCTCGTAGTCTGCTTCATTATTTGGACGGGGAATGCGCCTGAGAAAACTCTGAATCGACAAGGTACAGGAGAGTGAGAATGCGTTTCACTACTTCGCACTACATGTTCGACCACCACTCGTTGGACACTTGGTGGGTTAAGGTCGAGTGTGGTATTTTTATGTATCGGCCAGGTAAGATCGATCAGGTTTTGTTTCTCAGTTGGTGTCGGATCATTAGGCTGTGAAAAGTCAGTTGGAGGAGGATTGGGGAAATGGTCACCCTGTGCATGTGCATTTGTTTCAGTGTCAATAGCATGCACAGAAGCTGGAGAGGACCTAGTAGACACAGTAAGGCCCCGTCCCAATTCTCCCCCTTGCCCTTAAGTGCGAGTGCAAGTGTGAGTGCAAGTGCGAGTGCAAGTGGAGGGTGCACTCAACTCTCCCTAAGTATTGGGACACCCTTGTATGCAAATGAGCGTCCACTACGTCACACGCAATGTCAATTTTTCGGATTTCCAATGCCAGTCCAATAGGTGGCGGTAATACATATTTCTTCATAGGGGAGGTAAGACCGGAGAATTACTGCTGTTGTTGTTACTTTTGAAAATGCCGGGTCCAGCGGAGCTTCTGCCTGTTTTGTGGGCTATGATGCTTTTTCTCCGTTCGCAAAGTACACGGAGAAGCAACAGACGTAGGATGAGACTTTGACGTATGGTTGCGCTTGCCCGGATGTTTCAGGTATGTTGTTTTCTTTCATAATGGCGCGGCTTTGCCCGACTGCATATATATACAGTCTATGGCTGCAACATTACTAACTATCGTACCAAAACTGTGTCTAAAACAAGACGACCTACAAACGATACAAAGATCAAAAGTTACATCCATATGTCCAAACGTCTAACCATGAAGTATTCATCGCTGTTTTAAGTATGTACTAAACACGTGTATCACAAACGCAAAAACAAAGCGGTGCAGCATTGGCTACACTGGTTCTACTTTCCTTTCACTGAAATCTTGAGTCACAGTAGTATATTGAGAACTATTTATATTGCGGAAAATATTATATGAAGTACTGTAATGCCTTTGCATGTATAGTTTGTATTGTTAATGTCACATCCCTGCTTTCATGAGGGGAATTTGTGCTCTTAGGCCATCACTCATGCTATATATTTTTTTGCTCTTTGTTTTTCAGAGTGACCGTCCAGCAACGTACTGTAAAGTCAATGTGGTTGTGCCTATTCTACGCTTGTGGTTGGACGTCGAATTGGACACAAAACCTGACTTCAGACTGTCCAGGCAGGCCATGCATTCGCTGCAACGTGTAATGAGGAGAGCGCAAGATCATGGTTGGGGCAATGAATATGAGGTCCTCATATATGTATACTGGCTTGCCCATGGACTATCCTACCGTGTTGTGTCCAGAGTGTTCAGTATTCCTAGGTCTACTGTCCACAGGGTTGTCCATAGGGTAGCACAGTTCATTTGGAACAATCTACACCGAGCAATCAGTTTTCCAAAGATGGCTGACATTGATGCAGTGAGTAACGGCTTTGCCGAGCTTGCTGGAACACCTCTACTAAACAAAGCTGTTGGAGCCATTGATGGTTGTCATGTTCGCATAAAGCCCCCATCACTCCATCGTCTGGACTATCTAAATTACAAGGGTTTCTACTCAATACAAATGCAAGCTATTTGTGATCACACAGGAAAATTCCTAGACATTTTTGTGGGGCTATCCAGGTTCTGTGCATGACACGCGCATTCTGAAGAACAGCTCGTTTTACCTTGCAAGAAGGTACCCACCTACGGGGTACTTCATTCTGGGAGATGGTGGGTATCCTTGTTTGGAGGGACCAATCGCCCTTATTACTCCATACCGAGAGCCAGTGAACGGCCGGGCCCAAAGGAAATTCAACTACCATCTGTCAAGAGCCCGTTCTATTGTGGAGAGAGCATTTGGGATTATGAAGACTCGCTGGAGGTCCACCCTGTTCACAGGTTATAGCATCGTGTGCCTTTCTGCACAATGTATGTCTAGACAACGGAGACGTCCTGGAACCTGATAGTGATGCAACAGACATCCTGGACCCGGAACTTCCTCTCCATGAAGCTGCTGAGGAATATGAAAGGGCAGGGACTGCAATAAGGGACAGGCTCGTTGTATTGTTCAATGAAGACCCTTAAATGTAAAGTAAATTCTTTCAATAAAATGATTTAAAGAACAATAGATGACCTTTTCTTTATATCCTTTCCCAAGATCCTAACTTTAAGTTTCAGTATTTATTCCTAGAACAGTGAACATCAACACACACACAGTCACATTAACTGAGATTTATTTTTTGAAAAACACTCTAATAAAATGTCATATGTACAATATGAACAGACATGTTTTCCCAAACAGCCACACAGCAGCAGGCTACAGCTTTTCCACCATCCTCTCGAAGAGACTTAAAAAGCGCGAAGTCTTCTCCTCTGACTCCTTGTGTCTTCTCTGTTCCTTGTCCGACTCTGCTTGGCTCTGGCTATCTGTCCTCTTCCTTTTTCTGGGGGTAGGGGTGTTATGGCGAGAGGATGAAGAGGACGGGGTTGGTGAAGAGGGAGGATTGTTTGAGGATGGAGCTGGAGAAGCAGACCGGGTCGATGGTGCAGAGGAGGCAGAGCCCAACTGAGTATCTTCACTGGGGGTCTCGTCAGGATTGACAGTGGCCTGTTGGAGACAAATTATTGTCACGTCATGGCAAATAAAGTTATTAACTGCACGGCTACAAGCACTGACATAGCAGTGTGTACACATCACAAAGTACACCTGCCACTCGGTCTACAGCACGTGGAGAGTGCAGCGTCCCAAAATGTTCTGGATTCACTCCCAACTGAGATCATCACCTGCACTGAACTAAAAGTATTCACATGCAGTACAAAAACATGTCTATTGGAAAGGCAACTCTGTTTCCATGTGTGACGTGTCTGTGTGAATTCAGTGCAGAAATGTCTTAATAATAAGTGAATAATGGGGCTGGCCAGTGTTTTTTATTTAACTTGTGGTAAATGAAATAGAAATTTTGGTCTGATAATTCCTCCAATTACTTACATTTTACTGTTTGACAACAACCTGCTGAGGGGCTAGTGGTTCAATGCATCTTTCCTTTGGGTTAATGTTTATTGTACACCGCCCCTATAAAAATATTCCCTTGTTTCTTACCATTAGCAAAGCTGTAGGGTCTTCAGCTGGCCTGAAAGACGCCACAACAACAGGGGGATCCACAGCAGGCCTTCCCCCCAAGACTGCGTGAAGCACAGCGTAATACGGCCAGTTTGAAGCGGTCTTCTCCCCGCTATCTGTGCCTGAGCCAGTCTTTGGGTCCCTTAGGTCCTACACACACACACAGCAAAGTGAGTTGAGGTTACAGGATTAACCAGACAGATATATTTGCAGATAATTACCTTGTAGCGCTTCTTCAGGTTCTCCCACTTCTTACTGACCTGCTTGTGGGTCACTTTCCCCTCCAGGCCCAGCTCTTTCACTGCTTGCCTGTGAACATACAGTGAGGTATAGGCATTTAGCTGTGTTCAATAGCATTATTATTAAGAATAGAAGTTTCACTTACTGCCACAGACTTTTTGTCTGAAATTTAGTTTTCATAAAATTGGCTTCATTCGCAGCTCTGTAATTTATGAGAGCAAAGGTTTTCTCCGTGGTCCCTGGGGGAAAAACAGCGTTGGTCAATTGTTCAGTTCCACTACTACTGCAAGCTGTTTGCGCAGGTTTGCAAACACACAACCAACGTTAATGGTGAACACAAACGCTTACCTATGTTTATGAATTCAATGCACACCATGCCATGCACATGCACACGTACGAAACAGCGAGCCAACACCGGCATTCTACATTGTAGAACAAACTGCGTACCCACATAATTCTGACACGTTTCATAGCTTTTAGAGTGCATGTTTGTGTGAAATTGTACTTACATTTGTAGCTTTCGCTCCCGAGAGTCGGCGCCATGTTCATTTGGAAAAACTGGTTTGCCGAGTTCGCAATGCATCATGGGATCACCCTCGCTCGCAAGTGAGCTCCCGACCTCACTTGCGCTCAAGGGTGGTTTTTAGGGCAGTGAAGACCCTCGCCTCGTTTCCCTAAGTATTGGGACACCCTTGCACTCGCGCGGGCACGCGCAAACGCTAGGGCAAGTGTGCTTTTTAAGGGCAAGGGCGAGAATTGGGACGGGGCCTAAGATCAGCTAACTCCTCTTTTAGCATGTCCTCCAACGAATGTCCACTCAGATTGGCCATTTCCAATAGCTGTTTCATGAATGCTCTGGTGACATCACGTGCATTTATCTTATACACCTCTGCAAGACTCTTAATTTCAAATGTGATTTCAGGCTGCGCAGAGCTTTGAAAACTAAGTGGCAAAAGGGGAGTTAAAGAGTCCATTGCACTAGTATGACTGAACTCTGCAATTATCTGTCGGTGAAACTCTGAATGTGGATCATCAATGCGGATGTGGCGGCTAACTGAGCCGTACTTTTGCAGGTAAGTTGCTACTTCTTCGTCGAGATCACTGTTGGTAAGTCCTTTTATGATTACAGAGTTTGGGATTTTAATGGACTCTTTAACTACGATATCCATTTTTTTCTTTTTGGGCCTACTATTTGTTTGATAGTTATTTTGGTGTATTGTTTGTTGAAATGAGTCTCATGCAGTTTCACTATATCTCCTGGCTGGCTGGCTCGCCACTTCTAACACTCACTTTACTTAAGGTAGATTTGACTTAATATAAAAGAGCTTAGGAATTTGGACCAGAAGGTTCGGCTACTTACAGGAGAAGTGAAATGAATGAGACTCTGACAAAATAAATAAATAAAAGTGTTCAATATTCAAAGTGTCGGTACCAACAATGTTCTCTTTAACAACTGTTATTGTGAAAATAAGGTTGTTAAAGAGAACATTGTTGGTACCGACACTTTGAATATTGAACACGTTTATTTTTTTATTTTTATTTATCAAATACAAGCCGGCTTACTTTGTCAAAAACTTTAAAGCCTTTGTCAGAGTCTCATTCATTTCACTTCTCCTGTAAGTAGCCGAACCTTCTGGTCCAAATTCCTAAGCTCTTTTATATTAAGTCAAATCTACCTTAAGTAAAGTGAGTGTTACAAAATGGACGTACTAGCAAACTTCCTCTTCATTACATTCACATCCACAGACAATATTACAGACTACCAGAGCTGGAATGGCCAAAATCAGCAAAGTATTACTGGCCATGGAGCAGGGAAGAGTGACGGAATTCAAAAGAAAGAGCCTCGACCAGATACAAATTGAGCCTGAAGGTAATTCTTGATATTGTTAAAATATTGATTTTTAATTATTATTTTCCCCTAAATTACACTTATTTTTCTTCTTTTCTGTGCTACAGGGAGAGCAGTAGAGATTCTCTCAGAAACTGACGGGCTAAAAGAAACTTCAAGCGCAACTTCAACCATTCAACCAGATGCACCGCATGGCAGTGGCAGTGCCCCTTCAGGTAAGTGTGCCAGGTGGATGGTCCAGGAGGCCTGGGTGGTGGGGGGTTACAGCCAGGCTGATTGGCCCTAACCCTGTGAGTGTATATTTCTAATATATTTGTATTTCTCTCTCTCCAGAATGTCTAAGAAAGCCATGGTCTGCATCTGAGGTGAAGGCTGTGGAGAAGACGATGAAGTCTTTCATAAAGACTGGTAACGTCCCCTGGGAAGTCTAACTGCCTGGCCTGCATTAACGCCTCACCAGATGACCTTAGACATCGGATATGGAGTGGCATTAAATTCTATGCAAAAAATAGAATCACTGCATTTCGAAAAAAAAATCAATAATATTTCCTAATCCTGTAAAAGATTCATCTGTTTTTATTGACTGTTTTGGAATGCTTTGTGTTACTTAAAGCAGTCCCAGTAAAAAATATCAGTGCAGAGTAATTCTAAAGTGACCCCAGTATTGGTAAAAATACAGCAAGATTTTAGGAGTTAAAACCGTGTCTGAGGGTCCCATATGGAACGGCCCTGTCTTAGGGACCCACCAGGTAACAAAAACGTGTGCGTGTTCTGGATGGCAGCATGTACCGTTTGCGAGGAGCATGGACGAGGCGAGGCACTTCGGAGCAGACTGCTTCGTGCTTCAAAGGAAAAGCAGTTTGGGCTCATGGCTCAGAGCCTGATATACGCGGAGACTGTGGACTGAAGTTCTTGCATATCTAACATACAGTACATTGAACTTATAAACTGTGCAGTCGTTTCTTTTGCACTGTTCCTGTCTTTGTTTGAATCTGCACTTGCATTCTTCCTGCACTTGTAAATAGTTAATGTTTAGTCTCAGATATTTTCCACTTATCGTTTTGCTGTTTTTGCACGAATACACTTTAATAATAACTATGTTTCCATCAAGAACTGTGTCTTTATTCACAGCATCACTGTTAAATGAGTTATGAAACAATGAGTCCTTAGAACTATCACATAAAGCTACGCCTAGAAACACATGTAATGATCTCAAACAGCTTGGATTGCTAAGGCTTTTGTTCTGAAGAGAAGAAAGTAGCAGCGTAAATGCTTTGGTTTCTCCAGCAACTCCTGTGAGATTACATCACGTGGTTGGGTGTGGGATTACAACATTCTCTTCAAAACTACGCAGGGGGGCGCGCTTAAGTGTACAAGCAACTGTGGCTGCGTAGGTCCAGCGCAATCGCAACCAGCGCCGTGCGAGTGTACACAGGCCTTAAAACGCAATGTACTGGGTGTGTCTGCTTCTACAGAGCACTCTCCTCCAAATGCAGGTGAACTGGGCTTTTCAGCTCAGCTCTTTGTTCAGGACTTAAATAGAACATTCCTCAGTCTGAAGAGATGTTTCCATTGCCTCACAATAACAAGTGCGTGTGTGTGAGGTGTGTGTTTATGCATTTGTATGCGTGTATGTCTGTGTGTGTCATGGTGATTATCACTGAAGACTGCACAGGTGCATTAATATGATAGTTAATGACCGAAGTATTTTCTCTCAGGCTGTGTATTGAATAAGACAAACCTTTTCATCATACATCCTTTAACATGGAACAATGTGTGGTAAGGCACTGACTGAGAAGTGTTTATGGTCTTACCTTACACCACATTTGAACATCCACAGCCTCTGATTTTGTCCTCTCTTCTGAGATTTTGCATTGCATGTAGTAAATCACTACCTTCTTCCTGTTTAATGTTTCCAGATGATAGTTTGCAAATGGATGTAATAAGGGTGTATGAGTTTTATACAGCTCTCTTTTGGACACTCAAAAAAGTGTCTTTATTCATTCACTACATGCGTGGTGGTGATAAACAACATTTGATGTGATTAACAACATGTTTAGTAAATTGTGAAGGCGTAAGAGGGGACCGCCCTAACTCAGCCAATCAGCTCCCAGCCAAAATAATCATTTTGTGGTTCACAGAGCTCTTCCTTACAAGCTCGTTCAGGTCCTGTGGGTGTTCAAAGAGTTCCAGTTAACAAACATGTCAGATAATAGGCAAGTCCTTTACTAGCCACGGTGGCCCAAGATGCCTCCCCGTTCAGTTTAATGGTCTGTGCTAATTTGGCCTATGTAAAGAATGTGACAGCAGTACATCCAGACCATCTGCGACAAAAACTGAAAGACTGCATAACCATACAGTAGTAAGTGTGTCCAGGCAGGTTCCAAAAACTGCAACCACTGTTTCTCCTGCGGCAGTTGCTTAAAGCGTCTAAAGCAGCAGGGAAACGAGAGCTGGTTGCTGCAGAGGGACAAACAGTAACCAGGATGACACCCAGGTCCCCCCTTGAGATTGAAACAGCACCAAAGACACAAGTGAACCACGCAAAAGCACACTGCAAAAAGGCCCTTGCTAGAAACAAGAAAAAACAAACAAAAACTTTTTTTTCAAGCAAAAAATCGAGAAGAAAAAGATTTTTTTTCCCGAATGTGTAATGGGGAAAAAAAACAAGAATATATTTTGTGATTTGAGAAATTTTCTTCCAATAAAAAGGTGTGGTGACAGTTTTTGGAGTAATTACATAAAACCAGCCGCAGCAAATACACGGACGTCAAAGGCCTTTTATCAATGCAGAGACGCCCTTCTGACGCCATGCTGAGCTTTGTGAGGGCCCCCTGCTGTCTGTCACACCCTTGTGTCTTTCGTATCTTGAATCGGTATGCCTGCTCCTATCCATATGTCCCTGCTGCCAGGAAGGAGCCGGGCCCCCCCGACACCTACAGACAATGGCTATCACTCTTGCCCCCTTTCACCTCTTGCATATGTATCGGTCTGTATGTGTGCACTCTCTACATCCTGCAGTCTGTTTGCATCCCTATGCGCCTCCTGCACCGGTGGCCCCCCTCCCATCTGTTGTGGGCGGGACTGGCTTTCGTGTGTGTCTTGTATACAGGAAGCTCGGGGCTCTGGCCCCCAGAGCTAGTACATGCTGCCTTGTGTATGTGCTGACTCTCCGTACGTATGTTAACAATAAACTTACGCTTTTGATCAGACAAAGACCTTTGAGTTTTCTCCTTCATTGGGCAGAAACTTCCATAACAATTTGGCGTTGCTGACATGTCTTGGCATGGATACTTTCGGCGGGGACGAGCGGCTTTGTTTGGCCGACCTGGATCACCAGCCTCTGTTCCTTTTTGGAGACAAAGGAGGGCGCGCTCGTCCCGCGCACGGAAGGAATCCTTTTGCCACACAAGACCAAAAAGAACCTAATCTGGTGAGTCTTGTCTTTTCATCTGCGTAACGAGCCCAGGGCAGCCCTTAAGTCGACACGGGGATTTGTTTATTTATGTATTTTTGGGGTATTTCATTCATTGCCACAGCATAGTCTGTGTGCGGGATTTTTTGGGGGGCTTTTTGTTCTAGATTGAAGCTAGCGGCTGCGCGTTAGTATCGCATTGTAAGCGACCCTGGAATCTCTGAGTGTCTTCAGCCAGAACCGCTCCGTTTTCAAGAACGCGCGCTCGCTGGTTGAACCAGCGGGGGGGGGAACGGAGCGCCCCAAAGTGGGTAAGAGC